GTTGAGACATGGGGACATATAGTTGCATAAATTGTTTGGTTAGTCCTTGAATGCCTTCTCTTGATGTACCTTTCCGTTTGGGTGTTTTTGTCATATGTTAAGAACTGCAAGAGTAATGTCATTCTCCTTTTTTTTAAAGTTTCTCCTCACTGCCAGAGAAAATTTAATTGGATTGGCTGCCACGGGTGCATGACACTGATATGCAATTTGTCTACGTGATCAGAGTTTGGAGTTTGATCTCAGTCTGTTGTCCTCATCTCAACTCGTCTTGTGACAGGAACTTACCTTTATAATGACCTGCATAAATCACTCGACTGGAATCGCATTTTGTTTGGTTGACTCTTGCACTTTGTTCCAACAAGATGCATTTAGAAATGGGGAAGTGGTTTTGACTTTTGCTGGCCCCACAAAAAGGAAATCAATTTATGCTGCTGTCCTGAAAAACAGCTTTTTCATCGGCTCACAAAACAGGATCATCAGCCTTATCCAGACACATAATGTCTATTATGCCACCATTTAGAGATAGCCAGTATTAGGTAAAAGATGCTTTTTAGATACATATTCAATTAGAGGGACCATTTTGTAATTCATGTTTGACTGGGATGAAAAACAGTGTAATTTATCATCATATAGTCCTAGGGTTTTAATATAAATAAAAACAGTAAAAACATATACTCTCTGCTTGCTGTCAGTCCTTCTGAGTACTTAATGCAGTTCATCATTTGACAGGGGATAGATCATTATATATATTATAACATGTACATATATATATATATGTATTAAAGATAGAGCTTTGAAATGTGAAAAAAATGTTCTGTTAACTTTGTCTCTGTCTTTACAAACTAAAAGCGTATCTTTACAAATGAGGCTAGCAGACTAATTGAGATTAATTGAGGTCAACTTTATCAAACAGACTGTTGAGACTTGATTAGTTCTATAATGACTCACCAAATTGTTATGATTTGTTTCTGTGCACATTACAATCTGTCATTATCTAATTCTCAGATTTGTGTTTCTCCCATCTGTACACATTTGTTTATATACTTTGACATGTGAAAATCAAAACACACTTGAGATCATCATTTTGAGCTGTGCATTGACCTTTGCAAGCAAAAAGGATTCCTTAACCTCACACACTCCACAAGATTATCAATACCAATCATCCAGCACACGCCTGTTCAGACTGTGTCTGGCTTTTAAAAAACAGTCTGGAAGAGTCAGGGCGCCATGTAGTCGGCCTGCAGCAAAAATCAGTCTGTGTCTATGTCAAAGTGTATGTAAACAAACAAAAAGGCATACATGCACTAATGTCTTTGAAAAATCATGCAATTTAGTCGAATTAAAACAATACTGCATTCTGAAGAAGACCAGTGAGCCAAATATTATAGTGATGCACACACAGCCCATGCAACATGCACAGCAAGCTCTCCTGAGATCTAGTGTCCTTTCTTCCATCCATACTATATCATGACATCATATGCTGCTCTGGTTTTTAAAGATTTATCGGGTTAGGCTTAATGACATCAACAGAACAGAAACGCATAGAAACAGAATAGTGTTCAAAAACAACCAGATGAATCACAACCACTAACAACATGCATTTTCAAGATACCTATGCTGGTCTCAGTTTTTGCTTGCCCTACAGTTAACTGCACCCATGACCAGTAAATAACTGACACCACGTGAGATACTGGTTTGCACTTCTATTTTTAAAAGTGATTATTCCCCCTTGTTAAGAGAGATTGTTGTGGCAGAAATCTGATAACAACTTTTTGGGGCAGATAAAAGAAGTTCTTGTGAAACAAATGTCCTTGTATGCTCCCCTCCTTCTCCTCTCCGTCTGCTGATAGATGTATAGTGTTCCCCTTTTAGTTTAGTCATCCATCCTACGAGAAAATATGTAAAGCAAACCATATATAAGAAATGTTGTCTCTTGATCTTTATTTCTCTTGCTCTGTGTCTCTTTGTGAGTGTGTTTGTCTCACTGTGTGAGGGCCTTTGCAGTCCCCTTTGCAGTATTCTGCTGTGTTGTTGTATTTGTAAACTGCTTGTGCTGTATGGTGTTGCGCAACATCTGAAAATAGTTGGGTCTCTTCCGCACCTTTTTTATTTAATTTAAATTGTATTTTTATTTTGAATATATTTACGAATGATTGGATTTTCACTTTTTCACTTTTCCAAATGCTTAGAAAGTGTTTTTGGAGTATTTCTTAGGTTTTAAAAATAGTGACGCAGACACAGCAGAGAGCAGCTGTGTCATGGGTTCCTACCGTCTTCTGTGGTCAGAGAGGTCATTATGTCTTGTTGGATTCCTCTTGTAAGAGCGTATTAATGGATCTTTGATTGCTAAAATATTTTGAACACATTTGCCAAACTGACAACTGACAGATCACCAAACAATCATGTGGTTATGCATTAATGCCCTGACCTGAAAGTGGCTTTGTAATCATCAGTACATTTTAACGCTAATCTATCATTTGCTAAGGTCACTGATGAGCTGGGTGGGAAAGTCATATAGAAACAGCGACAACAACAAAGAGATACAAAAAGATTGTACAACATCAAGTGCACAGCACAAAAGACATGATAATAAACACTCTGAACATCAAGACTGCCTTTTGTTTTTTATTACAGATTGCCTTCTTCTTCTGTGCCTGTGGTTGCTTTACAGATGCTGGTTAGATCAGCCTTGGGCTCGATGCTGTTTCAAGGTAGACAGCTCATTAAGAATGGTGACAAATGCTGTGGAGGGAACTTAGTCAGCTGAGAGGAAGAAAGGAGGACTGGACTAACGAAGGCAAAACCCCACAGCATATTATAACTGTGACATGGACAGCCTAGAATTGGTCTTAATACCTCTTCAGTTCTTCCATTGAAATAATACCATTCACTGCAGCTGTGGGCAGCTTTTGCCATTTTAAAAGTGTTTCCAGCAGACAGTGCAACATTTTCGAGATGATTCATTAAAAGTGAGCAAGGAATAATGTCTAAATTTATATCTGAAGCAAGGCGAAGCCTCGTACCTTTGGGTATTCTCTGTGTCTGAGGGAATGCTTTTTAAGCTTCGGTAATTTCTACCACTGTGTGTGCATGATTATGCCTGTGTGGATGTGTTTATGCAATTGTGGGGTTTAAAATGCATGCTGCACACACACACACACACACACACACACACACACACACACACACACACACACAAACAAACAAAAGGTGTAAAAATCCTTTGTTCGCATGCTGGATTCCCGCTGATAGAGCAGAACAGTTCTTACAACCCGAAGAGAGGGAGAGCCTGCGTGGGAGGTGGTCTGTCAGTCAAATCCACATGTACCAGGGCAAGTGATGCATGAAGAGAGTTTGAGATTTCACTGTCATCTTCAGTCTGGTCCCCTGCAGATCTCCCTCTTCTGCCTCCATTTCTGCTCCAATGCTCCGCTGACCACAAAGACTGTATAATCTGTGCCATGACAAAACCTGACTGCGAATCATTTAGCTGAACAAATAAGGTAGTCCTGAGTACTAGCTTGGGTCTTCCCATGTGTTTAAGCTAATTCTAAGCAGTGTCCTAAGTGGGGCAAAATGTTTCACTGAGGTAAGGATTAATAAGGGACCACTGAGAAAAAAAAAATGAAAAGTGCCATTATATTTACTGCTCAATCCGTCTGTACTGTATCCTTCCCTGTAAATACAATATTTATAGTTTTTTTTAATAATATATAGCATATACTATTACTTGACTATTATTGCTACAAGACCTCTTGCTTCTGTGACTTCCACTAACACTGTTGACCGCTGAGTGCCGCTGTTGCATCCTGAACACGGAGGCGGATCATGTTCGCTGTCCGTGGTGCTGAAAAGATCAACTGCGATGCTCACACGTCCCATATTTTCCCACTGTCAGTCACCACCAAACAGTAACATTTACCTATAGATCCTAATGTGCCAAAACATGTGCCTAAAGCAATAGGAATGACTCATTCCACTTACAGAAACCTACTTGAACAAATCCAGAGACCCTCTGGAGATCGAGCCGGTGATCTACTCCAACTTGGCCACAGTTCAGAGCCCTTTGATAAGAAAACTAGGCTATAGTAAAATGGTGAATGCTTTTCTCGCACAGAGGCAGGAACAAAGAAAGTTGAGGTTTTGAGTGCTACTTGAATGCTACTCATGTCACAACTGAAAAGCCGTAGATGGCGCCATACAGAGGTGAATGCAGCTGCGGGGGCTTCAGCCCATCAGGATCTGTCGGTCACTGTGCAGCTGGACCGGCGTTAAGTCAGCCAGAGGAAGCTACAACCATACAGGAAATAATGGGAATTTGTCTCCCAAATAAAAGAACACAACGTGTCATTGAAATCGATATCATCATTTTAAAATCAATGGCCCTTATTATATCTGCTTTGCAGAATAGTTTGGTAATACTTTTCAGCACAACATTAAACAGAACAGAGTAGAGACAAAAAGATCCTGGTCAATATCGCGCACACAGGCTCATCTGCCTACACTATTTAAATGTCATACACAACAAGCACATTTTGGACTTTTGAACGCTGTCCCCTGGGTTGGTGGTGGTTAGGACTTAGCAATAAGGTGACTTGGTTTAAAATGTGTGTTTCATGAAATGTTTTGTGAAAAAACACAAAAACAAATAACACCAATTAAAAAATTTCCCTATTTACAAAATAATTTCATGATGTTTTTCCAAATTAAAGTTACATTTCTTTTGTTTATTTAAGTGTCTTTATTTTTGTGGACCCTTTCCTAATTCAATTATATGACGTTAACAGCGGACAAAACTTATTAGGCAATTTATAAATCCTTTTATTTCCTCTGAGGGAAAATTTGGGATATTGAGATTTTATGAATTACGGGAGGGTTTTCGTCTATTGTTTTTTTCTTTGCTTCTTGTCGTTTTTAGAAATGTTCCCTCGTCAACAAGGCTATTATTTTGAAAAGACCAACCAGACGTAACACTGTACCACAGCTAACCTGCCTCTTGAGGAGTGAACGAGTAAGAGGCGATACGGCTGACTTGCCACACTCGCCGCTGCCTTTGCCATGAAGTTAAAACGTCCCTGAAGCTAGCTCTCCTCTCCTTGAAAGAAACGTGGATTTGAAACGACGCCCGCTTTTACTCACATGTATGACAACTACGCCATTTTATTTTTAGTAAACTCACATCGGGTATTACTCCAGCGGTCGACACAGCCTGCAGCGACTTCACCTCAGATTCAGATTGTTTGCCCGACGACGGAATAACGCTTTAAATGACATTTTCTCTCACGGGAGAGGAGACTTTGCTGAATGAAACTTTGTACCATTTCTGCCGGAGGGGTGAAGAAGCGCGTATGCCGGGTGCCGTGTTGATTTAAAATAACCGAGTTATTTGCAGCTGTGGACCGCTGGATGGGACGCAGATAAAATGTTTGGTCACCTCAAGTTCCAGTTTGGGAGGTTAGCAACAATGTCAGGGGTCGCACGTTTTGGAAAATGATTACTGGCAGCACCGACGGTAAAATAATGGTCAGAAGATGTCTAGTAACGTTCAAACCGTTCAGGTAAGCGACAAAGGGCTGGCGACGTTATTCTGCACCCAGTGTCCCTTTGATCATTGTGCATGCTTTTTTCACAGCTTACATTTTATCATACAGATGTCCCAAAACTGAATAGAAAGACATGGTTATCACTGTGAGGAACACTGAGTTGTGAAGCCGTAAGCCGTGTCAAAATGCACTACTATTTGTAGGTTATTGTGCACATTATGTAGAGCCAGGGTGTGTGTGTGTGTGTGTGTGTGTGTGTGTGTGTGTTACCACTTACCTAAACACACACATATGTGCACATATACGCCAGATGTTTGTCCACTAGATGAATTAGATTTCAGATCCACATGGATTACGAGACGTAAATAAGCCTGTACTACCAGTCAGCCGAGCTCTAACTTAGTTTCTTGCTACATGGATAGCTCCATTATCATTGTGTGGCTAGGCTTTGTTCCTGAGGATATAAAGGGGAAACTGGAGGGGGTTTCTTAACAACGTATACAGATAATTCTTTACAGTCCATTTAGCCTTGTTGTGCCAACTTAATTTATTTACCCTGATAGGCAGGCTATATATTAATTGCAGACATTAAATCTCTAAATGCATTCCTCTATTTTGCTTTTCTAAATTCTGGAGTTCAGTGGTACAAATGCTAGGGGATCTCATCTTTCCCTCCTTTCCACCTGCTAATACTGTTACATTTTCCAAACAATTCCTCTAGTGTGCCGGCGCAATGATGCAGCAGCTGTGCAGCACCCTCTGTAAAAAGTGTCTGCCTGTGATGGTGACATTCATGCTGCGCTAAACTACTTAACCTGCTATCTACTCAGTAGATCAAGCATTTAGTCCAAAACACTCAGTTAAGCAGCATTGTGACAAAGCTACACCAGCCCTGATAACACAGGCAAAGAGAGGTTCTTGCACGTGATTTGTGTGTGCATCACATTTAAAATGAACCAGTTTTTGTTTGTCATTTTACTATGAATAGTGGAAAAGAAAATAATATTTTCATGACAGTTAGCCTTTGTTGGATAGTTTTGACAAGAAAAAGAAACAAAAACATTGGAGAGAGAAAGTTGCCAGGCCAGAATTGAACTAGGCATATTGTGGATGTGCATCTTGTATCAGCTCCAGGAAAGCCCCAGCAGGCATATTTGGGCAACAGGAACATTAATTGACACATCTGCTGCAAAAATGCTGCTTGTCACACTGCATTTAATGTGAAACTCAACATTGTCTCAAAATGCAGTCTGTGTGTGAACACCGCAAGATCCGAATCGTTTCAGGTATTTAGGCCTCTTCAGGCACCAGGAAAAGTTTCTTGGAAAATAACACAACTAACATCTAAACCACGGCTCCTCCATGCCTGGCAGAAGTCCTCTCGCTTCGAAATCATCTACCTAGAGGCAAAAATCTGATAAGTCTATATGTGTGAGAAGGCCAATTAGCTGATAGCAGATCTCGCCTTCTGATCCAATTATAGGGAGCGGAGCATTTACTTTAAGCTGGTTAATTAAAGACTCGTCAGGCAGGACTGGGGCCTAATCCTCTCATATCATCCACCTAAGGCCACTTTGGAAAACTGCTAAATGATAACAGAGGATATGATCACCCTAGGACACCATCAGGCCAGCTTCTGAACACCCACATGAGCTGAGTGATTCACTTTTTTTCCTGCTCCTTTCTCTTTCCATCAATCTTGCTAGACTTCCCCCTATTCTGCACACACACATAAACACACATAGGATTATTAATACTTAAGATCACAGAGAGAATAGTGATATAATGGATTTGTAAACTGTAAACTCAGCCAATTTTGCTTAGTGTCCTCTGTGTAGCCCCTTTCCAAACCTGTCACTGGGCCTCTTCACTTTTCCATACTGGAATAATTCAAGGCACTGAGGAGGACGAGAATGAAAAGCAACGAATGTGGCAACTAAACACTAAATCAGATCTGTGATTCAGATTTTCAGCTTCCACCTGCTTGGCTTGCTGACCACACAGTAGGATAGTAAGTGCATAATCCATGCAGCTATACAGTAAGCATGTCTGGATCAGGGCATCATATTCATGATAAATAATCCCTTAATCATAATCATTGTATAGGGCTTGGATACACATCAGTTACTGTATGTGGTCCTCTGACAACGATTGAGCTATCCTAATTCATTCCGCAATATGCCTGGAACAGATGGAGGTAATTTTTTATTATTTAATAATGTTACAATATCCTGGGAGAGACAGAGAGGTAAATGAGAAACCGTGATGAAGGAGCATGTGCCAGCTGCCTAGATGCTGGGACTTTGATGAGAATGCAGTTAGATTCTAATTTCTCCATGTTTTCAGTGTAAATCAATAAAAATTTGCTACACAGATCATTGCCGTCGCTCTAATCCCTCTGATCACAGTGATCATCACATTAAAGTGTTGTCTAATAATCTCTTTCCAACGCCAGCAAATTAAGTCGATTATTGGGAATTGGAAAGTCTGATTTCAACACCTATTCATACACAAATTACAGTTTGTCTTGTTACAAGTGTAATCAGCACGGCAATTCATTAAATCCCAACTGAAGTTCAAAATGTAATCTGATCCCTTTGCTCACAGAATGTATGGAAAACGAAGATAAATGACCAAGTTAACCGGAATGACTGTATAGCTGCTGTACTTTTTGGAGTGATCAGATGACTGTAATCATTTTTGATGCAACCCATTAGATAAGAGCCTTGATGATGGTGATAGTGATGATTATTCACTGTCAATATGTGTTGTACATGAGTAAAAGGTTGCCTCTCAAGGAGCTACATCCCACTGTCTGGCCTTGAAGCTGAGGGATTACTACTCAGGACAAGATGCATTGGCTCTGTCTTTGGAATATTGTCTCCCTGGGAGCTAGCCAAACCACCACGCTCCACACTCAACAGATTATTCAACATCTTGATCCCTTTGGGTCAATCAGATCATTTCAGCAAATGTTCTTTTAAGTGGCTATTCTTCCTTGCTGTTGATAGGAACTCATTTCTTACGGCCTCATCAATATTAAGAGGCTTTGGTTCAGAACCTTGCGTGACTGGAGCTACTTACCATTCCAGGAAGTGCTGTCAGATTTCACACTGGGCTGTGCATTCAAGCAAACAGCTCTTGCCTGGCTTTGAAGAGAAAGCAATAGAAATGAATAATTCATTCATTTGTTATGTTAAGATTCAGTTTTCCAAACACTGGTGCAGAAGTTAAAAGTTTAAAGGTTACACCTGTGCAAGGTTGGCCTTTAATTTAAATGATGAAGTGAATTGTGATGAAGATGGTGGTGATGGTGCAGTGGATAAGACACCTTTGGTGTGAGAGACCCGGGTTCCCCACTGTGACACATCCACCAATGTGTCCCTGAGCAGAAGAAGACACTTAACCCTTAGTTCCTCTAGAGGCATGTGAACTCTGACATATGTAGCAATTGTAAGTTGCTTTGGATAAAATCATCAGCTAAATGAATAAATGTCATGTAATAATATCACAAAAGCTCTTCCCTTTTTCCTCCTGCTGTTGGCATTGCTTTAGATACATTGCCCATATGCTGGATATGATTTGTAACTGCTTGTTTGTTATTGAAGCCCTATATATTTTTCAAAATTACAACACATTTACCCAAACAACTGTACATGATGAGGACATTAGGGGAAAATGTCTTCAGCTGCTAAAATATGTAGTCTAAGTACTGGAGTGTTTTTCATTTTGCCATTAATTTTCACATCAATCTGCATTTGGACTACTGTAGTGATCTGCTATCACTACCAGGGGAGGTTATTATATTTTGGCTCATCACACACAACAATGTCACAGAAACACCCAACTCGTAAACCAGTTCATTCATTCAGCTTCTCTCTAAATGTTGATGAAGCTAAAATCTAAGATGATGCAGTGCTACGAGGTAGTAGTGAGTCCGTCCTGTCTGAGCAGACGGTTTGCTGTTTGGGCTTCTGTTGTTTTCTTGTTTATAGTCTGCGTTGTTCATATCCATGCTGCTCTCTTGCTGAAAGCTCCGGACAATTCATTCCTGGTAGTTCTTCAGACCTTGCTACAGATGGAGCATGTGGCCTGTGTATGTTTTCTTAATGGTTCAAGATATGAGTGTTTTATTATGCTGTGTGCTTGAGTCCTGTGTGATAGCGTATCGTTACACTACTTCTATAGTATCTTCTAAGAATTTCCTTTTGTTGGAGTTAGCAGCGGAACATCAAGCTTTTTTAAAGTGGGACATGACTTGTTAGTCATGGAGGCAGACTGGTATTTTGTCCAACGGATAAGGATCGCAGACAGCTTTGCCTCTCTGGTTCCCCAAAGAGCCACAGTATCATAAGATAACCTCTGATCCATATACACTGAAGAGACTAGCTTAACTAGGGCAGGATTTACACAGATACAAAAGACCTGATTTTCAACTCTTTTAAGTCAAATATCTGATTCTCTCATGGCTCTCTGACAAGAGAGAACCCACACAGAGTCTGATTTTATTTTCCCTTCAGAGGTACGGCACCGTTTCAGATATCGGATGTGAGCCACAAAGCAGAGAGAAGCAGACGTTTATGTTTCAAAGCAAGATCTGCACTACAGATTTGAGCCTGGATTTTAAAATATTATCACATGAGACCAGATAGGTTCTTCAGATAGTTTTTTCAAGTCTATCTTAAAAAAATACTCGCATGCCCATGTGTACACTGAAAGAGTTATTGGTGGCTGAAATCATTCCACCTGTATACTTCCTACTAGGATACCCAGTTTTTTTGGCTAAATTATATTAGCTTTAGTGAAACAAGAGGACTGTGGATTTTGTCCCCAATTAGAATTGTATTAGATAAGGACCTCTTCAGGATCAGTATAGACAGGAGAAACTACTGCACCAACTGATAACTCTTTTAATATACATATAGACTGAACAAAATTAGAAATGCAACACTTTTGTTTTTGCCCCCATTCATCATGAGCTGAACTCACACATCTAAGACTTTCTCTATGTACACAATTTTCTATTTCTATTTACTATTTCTCTCAAATATTGTTCACAAATCTGTCACAAATCATGCCACAGTTGTCACAAGTTTTGAGGGAGCGTGCAATTGGCATGCTGACTGCAGGAATGTTCACCAGAGCTATTGCCCGTGAATTGAATGTTCATTTCTCTTCCATAAGTCGTCTCCAAAGGCGTTTCAGAGAAGAAACTGTCAGGAACCACCTCAGGGAAGATCATCTGCATGCTCGTCATTCTCATCTGGGTCTTGACCTGACTTCAACTTTGCACAGCCATTGAAGAGGAGTGAACCAACATTCCACAGGCCGCAATCAACAAACTGATCAACTCTATGCGAAGGAGATGTGTTGCACTGCGTGAGGCAAATGGTGGTCACACCAGATACTGACTGGTTTCCAGACCCCCCCAATACAGTGAAACTGTACATTTTGGAGTGGCCTTTCATTGTGGCCATCCTAAGGCACACCTGTGTAATACCCATGCTGTCTGATCAGCATCTTGATATGCCACACCTGAAAGTGGATGGATTATCTCGGCAAAGGAGAGGTGCTCACTGACACAGATTTGTGAACAATATTTGAGAGAAAAAGGCTTTGTGTAGTCTTAGATCTTTGAGTTCAGCTCATGAAAAATGAGGGCAAAAACAAGTGTTGCGTTTATAATTTTGTTCAGTATATGTCGGTGAGTGTCTTCTAACACAGACTTGAAAAAAGCCAAACCCAGAGAACTGGCCTTAGATTGTAGACGTATTTGCACTTTGAGATTTCCCTGAAATGTAAAGTGCATTATAAATAAAATGTATTATTGTATTTCATAACTCACGGTGATACAATATACAGTAACTCACATTGTGACGACTGTTTTGCATAGCCCACTGTTGACCTCATTTTGTGTGGTTCAGACAGAGTGAGACCAAGTCTCAAAGACTTTAGTTGGCATTTTAGCTATATCTTTACGCTCCTGTCCTCTTCTAGTCTTTTTTTTCTCTTCCACGTCTGCACCCCACTTGATATTACATAAATAATCACATTCATTTTGCCAGCACTTGGGGACAAACTGCTCAAGCATATTTTGTCCTAGATGTACGTCAACCAATTACATCAAACCACCCAAATGTTTCAGGTGCCCTTTGGCTTAAAGTTGCTACTTTTCCACATGTGATCATTGCTCTATTTATGCTCTGCCTTCTGGAAGGGCTGCCTGCTGTTTCTTGACTGTCTCTTTGTTTCTCTTCTCCACTCCTCTTCTGCTCTCCTCCACATTTTTTCCTCATCCTCTCGTCTTTGCCTCTCTAATTTGCCTCTCGCTTTTCTGCCAATCATTCTGTCCTGCAAACCTGTCTTCTCTAATTGTCGGCCTATTCATCTGTAAACATTCTTGCTTTTGTTTTTCAAGCCTCTCGCTCTGTATCCACTCCCTTTTCTGCCTCCAAATATCTCCCTATCCCCCCCCTTCTCTATTCTCATCTTCATATTCCCAGTACTCACCCAACTCATCTATTTACCTGCCCTTCCCTGTAAATATGTCTATCTATCTCAACTCCCTTTTCATCTATTTCCTCTCTCCTCCCCCCTGTGTTTCAGGATATTCGTGGTGGGAATAGGCTTCTTCAGCCTGTGCTTTCTAATGACCTCTCTGGGGGGGCAGTTCTCAGCCAAGAGACTGGGGGACTCCCCCTTCACCATCCGCACAGAAGGTACTGACATGTGCCGTGTGTGTGTGTGTGAGAGTGCATGTTTGTTTGTAAACAGTTCCTTCACTGAATTGAAATGATGTAATGTCACTGCATGTTGCTGTGCTATAACTCTCCATGGTCCTACTGGCGCTTCACTGCCATGTGCCACTTTGTTTAAGCTGCACCACCTGTCAGTGGAAACATAAATTTTGGCCTGGGCAAAGAAATCATAAAGTAAATGTAAATACCATCGCAGAACCAGTATGACCAGTGAATTTCATTCATACAACTTTCAGCAGATAAGCTGATTTTCTGTTGTTGCGGTCAAGTGGTGAGAGATAAATCAACATGCTTGTAAAAGAAGATTGATCTGGTGTGTGGGACATGAGCTAGAGAGGCCAGACAGTAGCTTGGAAGTTATTGGTCTAATCCCCAGCGGTGACAGCAGCAAGTGTGGCTAATATTATATCTGTGGGTTTCACCCTCACTACTTTCAGGGATTCTGCTCTGATGACATAAACAGTATATTTCAGGGCTATGTGTGTCACATACATTATATATTAAAATACATGTGAATTATTATTCTCTATGTTTGGTGAAATGTTTACTCAGCTGACAGTTCTTTGACTCAGATATGACAAAACACTGTATCTGTATCAACATAATTAATCTACTTAATATTGATGGACTCACTCCACTTTTATATCTATCTGGACTCACTCCACTTTTATATCTATCGACTTTAGAGGAGCGTTTAGCAATCCAGCCTGAAAAGCATTTTACAGCTCCTCTGAACCCTCTCATGATTCTCTTTAAGTCTCACCTTCATATGGAAGTCCATTAAAGCAAGCCTATATGTCTGTTGCTGTAACCACAAGTGGAAATTACAGTATGATGACTCTTTGAATTTCCCCACATTTCGGGATTGTGGTTGAGTACAGAAGACAAACATTAGCTAAGTGTAACTAGAAGAGCAAAATACATTAGAATTATATGAAAGTGAAGCATCACACTTTTACACCCCAAAGTGTTGTTAAGATACTTCTCTGCATGTTTATTTGTCCACAGAAAAAATACTGTAAATATGACACCAACCTTGAATTCCTGTATTTTTCCATATCACTGCACATTGGTTTCTGTACTTGTGTTGCATGGACACTGAAGCCAACGTCCGACAAAGCCATATCTCAGCAGTGAAAGGTTATTAACACATTGGCCAGCCAGCAATATCACATGACCCAGAGTGATGGCTGACTGCCAGTGGCAAGTCAGAAAAAAAAGAGTGCCATTGTAATCTCCTGCTGTACAAGGTGCGAAGTCAGAGGTCACTCTGTGGAGGCCATCTACTTCTCAGTACTGCGGGAGTTAAAATAAGAAATCCTGTGTTCCGAGGGCGCTCCCACAATGTGTGTAGAGTGTGTGTGTGGGCAAAACAGTGGTTGAGGCATGCCATGTGTCAGCTGACGTGGGAGTGAGAGCACATAAAAGACAGAGCAAATGCTCCTTTCGGTGTGAATCAGTCAGGTGTTCGCGTGCGTGTGTGTTATCTGTTAGAAATAAAGATGAACCAGTGAAAATGGAAACAGAAAACAGCAGACTTAACTGAATGGATAGATGCAGAAGCATATCAGTCGGTGTGTTTTTGTGTGTGTGTGTGTGAGAGAGAGAGAGAGAGAGAGAGCGATACAGAGGGTGGAAAGGGGGGTCATTTGGGATTACTGTGTTTGTGATAAATTGAGATTACTGTGTTTGTGATAAATTAGAATTAGTGTGTATGTGTCAGTGTTCCATTGTAAAATGTACTTGATTAATCAACTAGTCATGCGCTGCAGCCTGGGAAGACATCTGGAGCAAGCTCATTAAGAACTGTATAGTGTCCAACCGTGCATCCCCATAGGAACTTACTTTGTGTGTGTGTGTGTGTGTGTGTGTGCGTGCGTGCGTGCGTGCATGTGCCTCTAAATTTATTTGTGTGTCTCTCTTTTTTAGTATGTACGGAAATGCTTTTGTGTTTCTATGCACAAAAGATGTCCATATCTATATCATCTACAGTATGCCTGGGTGTGTTTGTTTGTGTGTATGCCCCACTGTTTCACCCTCTGCTCTCCCTTTATGCGTATCTCTGTTGTCTACTACCTCACACTGTTTTTGCTGCTGTTGCTGAGTGTGTATGTGTGTTTGTGACGAGCTGGCAGGAAATTGGCTGTTAAATGGGGCGACAGCAGCAATGTGGGACAAGATTGAGACCAGAGAGACTGAGAGACCGATCCATCTGCTCTCTCCAAATCAGCCCCGCTGAAACAACTGGCCCTTTCATTAAGTCTCCACTCACCACCTGCAGAGCAGCACACACACACACACATACACACTCACACACACACACACAGGTCCTCTCCCATGTCCCATTAAGTACATGTCATTTCTAGGAGATCTTCCTTGTGAAAATATGCAACACTGCCAAACAAAACAGTTTCTCCAAATTTTCAGGCTCTTCTTACAGAGACCAGCAAAGCAGAGCAACTTTATTTGGTGCTCATTGTATTTGCCTTAAAGAACTTGGCTTTATCATAACCAGCTGCCAAGAGGTTTCTTGTTAGCAGCTATGGCGTGATTATTTATTTTCATTTAATTCATTCATTCATTTCAATTTCAATAATAAGAGTGCTATTTTTAAAACGCAGAAACCCACAATTTCCATTACAATTTCCATAATTAAGAGTGACTTAACAAGCAACAGCAAGTAAAAGTTTAAACTGACAATCAATGTTTTCATTGCCTATAATGACAACTGCTGCTGGTAAATAAATTTAGCAGTAGAGTCTTTCTGCATGCCTGTGTCTGTATAATGGTACTTCTCCAAGGATGGTTTTGTACATGCAGAAACACTCTTCAATCATTTTTGATGTTTGACAAAATAAGGCGTGATCTGTGGCAGCGTTTTCTCCCTCTATAAAAGATCTAGGTGATGGCCTTGTGTCAGTTTCAGAGCGATAGCTAGCAGGTAGCTCTGTAGTTGTTTGGTGTAAGTGACTGACAGCTGGTGAATAGAGTTGTCTGAATTGCCATGTTAAACTTCTCAACACATCATATAATTTTTTTTAAGCTTAACACCCTTAAATGCTCTGAATTGAGACCTCCAAGTTTCGGGGCTGTGAAAATAGTCAGTGTGAGGCTAATGTTATCGTTAGCTGAAGCAGCTATAGTGCAAAGCAGCTATAGTGCAAAGCTCTCAACATAAGGTGTCACCAGTCTGATATCAAAATACTGATTTACCAATTTGATCAACTATGCATATATTGTCAATAAATGTAATGGCACTTTTAAGAGTTGAGATTACATTTTAATATTGATGCGTATGTCAGATATATTACTAATACATTATCTTTATTAAATGTGACCTAAATTAGTCAGGTTTTCAATTGAAAAGTATGTACATTTATCTAGAAGTTGATTTTTCTTTAGCTGACATGTTTAAAGAAACATGGGTTCTTGTTAAATACTATGTTGACCACAAAAACCACAGACCTGTAGTTAAATAAAAAAATATATATATAACAATATAGGTCAGAATCTTAATTAGTTGTTTTCCTAAAATTGTTCAACCCTGTGATTGGTTGTCTTATTTTAGCATTGGTCCAATGTTAAGGCAGTTTTCTCATGCCATACATAATGTTGTGTGTGCTTATTTCTCTACTGTAAAAGCATTATTCACAAGTTGAAACAAATCCTTTGTACTAAGAAGTTACTTTGTCATGACATAGCAAACTGTCAAAGGCTGTTTTGTTTTGTCCATTGCTTTTGGCTCTCTTAAACATGGCCTCAGCTCAGTTCCTTAATGATGATGACTGAATTTAGGGATTTTAAGTATACACTGCTGACATTGTTAGCTAAAGAAGCTCATTTAAAAACTTACAGATTAACATATCCTCAACAGTTTTGTCCCTAGTAGCCCACAGCAATCATTTAGTCACTACTGTCCACTTCTGTTATCTGAAAATGTGCCTGTATCACTGTGTTTAGATGTCATTGTATAACAGGGCTTTCCACAGCCTGTGCAGAGGATGACTGATTCAGCAGCTGTCATCCAGGGCTAATCACTATCCAGGATGTGTTGACAACAAGGCCTTCAGGAAGACAAGAATAAAGTTGCTTTTCTGTATGTAAATCAAAATCTCGCATTGTGCCACAGTCATTCATACACAGATATTAGCTTGCTTTTTGCACACAATAACAGCCACATTTGTGCATGGCTTTGTCACCTTAGTGGGAGTTGTGCTGATAGCAATTGTTTGGGTATTAACTGAATTTCCTCGCCACCTCTCGCTTCTGTGGATTATCAGCTTCCATGGGAGGTTCAGAGTGCTGGGTTTTCTCTGAAATCCCCGTCTCTACTCAGTGACTCACAAACTCATCAGGAGCCGTGAGCCGGAGATGGAGAGGTAGGGGCTCAATAGTGAAAGTGAGAAAGTAGAGGAGGAGGAAGTAGAATGGAGATTGTATGTCTTTGTGTCTGTCCGTGATTAAGCGAGAGAATGAGATTTCTAGAGGATGCATTGCTTACAAAAGAGAAATAGAGGGATAAAAAGGTACACAACCAGAATTTATTTCATCTGATTAAAATACATCAGACGTAAGGGAAATGTTAGCTTGATCAAAGGCCCTCCCTATGGACCTTGTTCATACTCTGCAGTTTATTACATTAACAAGGACTCTTGACAGTCCTTTCACCCTGTTTGTTCTAGCTGAAAGACTCAGGGCTTTCTCTGCCTGCTTGAGTCCCTGCTGGGAGAGAGAATATATTTTTTATATATACATTTTTTGCCTCAGTTTAAAAATGTGCATTTATCTCATCTCTGTAGGTTAAACGGTTAGCAGCTTGAGAGTTCTGTCAATCAAATAATGTAATTTAGAAAATGGAAAACTTGTAATCGCCACGAGGAGAACACTCTGTTTGGAAATGCTGCTGTGCTTAGATCCAAGCAGGGGCCGAGACTAATGGTTGTTTGACTCGCAATAAACTC